GTATTCTTTTTTCTTCATTCCCTGTCCCTTAAAAATCTATTCATTTCCAGGACTGTACCATCAATCCTAACCTCTCGTCTGAGTTCCAGATCTGAGTTTAGGTTGCTTACAAGCCATCTCCACCAAATCATCACACAGTCACATGAAACACAACATGGCCAAAACAGATCTAGACCGATCCATCCTTGAAACTTCACTATACTAACTCACTATACCTATGTTCATTGTGCTACCTTTGGCTTTTCCTAGTTTCTCACCCTTCATATCAATGAGTTACCAAGAATTGCTGATTTCATCTCTGCAAAATTTTTCCTCTGTTTGTGTTACAAGGCAGCTAAGTGATACAATGAATAGAGTGCCAGGCCTGGAACAAGGAAGAGCCGAGTTCATATCTGACCTCAGACACTTACTAGCTATGTGACCCTGGGCAAGTTACTTAACGCTGTTTGTCTCAGTTTCTTCATGTAAAATGACCTGGAGTGGCAAACCACTTTAGTACCTTTGCAAAGGAAACCCCAAATAAGGTTATGAAAAGTCAGAAATGACTGAAAGGTGACAGAAAAATAATTGGATAAGTTAGTCTCTTAAAAGGCGCCCTGCGGGCAGTTAGGTGGTGCAGTGGATAGAGCCCTAGAGCTAACAGGACCTGAGTTCAAATCTGACCTCAGACACTTGACACTTACTAGCTGTGTGACCCTGGCAAGTCACTTAACCCCACTGCCTAGCCCAAAAAAAAAAAAAAGTCTATTTAAAAAAAAAAAGTGCCCCTAATTCCATATCATCCTTCATCTCATTGGCATACTGATCTTCTTTAAGACTAGCTCTGGTCAAATCACTCCTCTGCTCAAAAATCTTCTGCGGTTCATTTCTGCTTAAGTAATGTTCAAACAACTCTCTTTGGCATTTAAAGCCCTTCCCAACATGACCCACCTTTCCAACCTTATCTAATACCACCCTTGCTAGCTACTACACACTCCAAACTTTTCTCTTTCCTTGTAGAAAAGGACAATCAACACAAAATTTCAAGGTTACAGATTTAGAGCTGAAGTGAACCTCAGAAGCCACCTAGTCCAAATACCTCTTAAGGCAACCAAGTTCCAGAGAGGCTGAGTCTTGCCCAAAGTCACAAAGATAGTAACAAATAACCATTTTGATTTACAGCCCAATCCTAAAATTCCTGCGACTCCAAATGTGACAGAACACTCAGCTGCTCAACTAGGTTTTTGTCATGAACAACCACATTAAGTGGAAAGGATAACACATTATTATGTACTGAGCCCTTACGATTAAAGCTTGATAGGCAAAATTTGGTGGTGAAAACATCTAAGGTTAATATCATAAGGGAGTAATCTCTGCTGCTGTCAGAAAGACTGAATATGGCAATTCTTACGTTCTTAAAAAACACTGACTCAATTATTATCTCATGCTATTCTTCTGGAGAAGACACAAAGATGTAGACTAAATGATAATAAATGCAATGAGGTGGGGAAAAGTTTATTCAGAGAAATGCCTTGAAAAATTATTATAGGTCACTAGGGAGGAGGGGGAGGGAAACCATATATGTGTTCAGTAAGGGAGATAATTAAGCCAACACTCAAATGTACATCAGAAAGTACTAATTGATCCAGAACAGTTTGGATGGCCCAGTTTGAAGAATGGTTATTAATAATGCAGTACCAATGTGGCAGGAGGTCTCCAATGGAGTAACCCAAGGATCTGTACTTGCCCCTGGGCTATTTAACAAATTTTATCAATGACTTGGTTTTCCCCTCTCTGGAAGTCTTTAAACAGAGGCTGGACAAACATCTGTTTAATATATTATGGTGGGGATTCTTTTTTGTGGAATAGGTTGATTTAAATGGGGACTACGGTCCATTCCAACTCTGAAATTCTGTGATTTCTGAATTCTAAGAATAAGTGTCCTCCAAAACTATGTCCTGATACTCCTCTCTCTTTAGACTCTTCCACAGTGTGACCTCTTAGCTCCCATATGTTCAATTATCATCGTCATGAACTAATCTTTCTTCAGAACTCATCCCACATCTCCAACTGACTGCTGCACATCTTCAACTTGTTGACCTTTTAATAATTCAAATGTAACTTACCTAAAAGAGAACCAATCAACTCTCTATCAAAGTCTTTTCCCTTTTCCAAACTCCCCTAAAACACTATAAACTATATTTCCAGGCACTTATGTGAGCAACCTTTGGGTCATTCTTGACTCCTCTTTCCTTCACCCTCCCTCTACTCAAGTCAGTTGCCAGTCTTGTTGATTCAATCTCTAAATTATCTTTTCAATCTCACTCACTCTTTTCATTCACATGTCCATTATCCTAGTTCAGATCCTCATTACCTTTTTTATGTATATTTTGCCTGTATCAGAATTTTTTTAATTTTTAAAAAATGTTCAGTGAGAAACCAGACTCACTCCCTCTTTCCAGTTGTTAATACTCCTCCCTCCTCAAATGACCTTGTATTTCCTGATTTGTGAAGAGTATGTCCCAGTAAAATGTAATCTTGAAGGGAAAGACCTTTTTTGGTATCTTTAGCAATTAGCACAGTACTTTGTATATCATAGGCAATTAATAAAAGTTCACTGGTCTGCAATAAGAAAATTCTGTTAGTTGTTCATTAATTCCTACAGTCTTGTCAATATCGGAAAGTGCCAGCACTTGTTAAAAACAATATGCAAAGAAAAGTTGTTTTCTTAATATTTAACCAACAGGTTTTACTATGTTGATATAATTTGAAAAATAGAAAGGGTAAGGCACATACACAAAATACATACCGCACACATTTTTTCCCTATTTTAAGCCTTAATGTGTTTGAAACAGAATTTGAGAGTTGATTTAGGTGTTACAAATAAACTTGGGGCCACAACACTTTCAATGACTAAAATCTGGCATTCTGCAAAAATCAGTGATACTCTCCCCCCAAATCATAATTCTCTATTTTGTAAATGGGGGCAGCTAGGTGGCACAGTAGATACAATGCCGGGTCTAAAGTCAGGAAGACCTTTTAAAACTAGACTGAGACACTTACTAGCTGTATGTCCCTGGGTATGTAATTTAGCATTGTTTGCCTCAGTTTCTTCAAATGTAAAATGAGCTGGAGAAGGAAATAGCAAACCACTCTAGTATCTTTGCCAAGAAAATCCCAAATGGGAAACACAACTAAACAACAATAAAAATTTTGTAAATGAGTGTAACATTAGATCTTTGGGAGGATTTTAAAATATGAAAACACAAATGACAAAGACTCATCTCCTATAGTAGTCTGACATAAAAGCAAAAAACTATTGATAGAACTAAAATTACAATAAATATGAAAATCAGGGAATCATAATTTATATCCCAATTCTAAATTCTATAACATTTAGGATGGATTTGTGGACTGTATGTTGTAATTATTTTAATATATTAAAAAACTGCAGCAACTTTTAAAAAATCTCATTAAACATACACAAACACATTCAATGTATATATATTATATATATATTCAATATTGTTTAATTCTGAATCATTAAAAATAAAGCTGTGTAGTTGTATATGAGTACTAAAATAAGAAAGGCAAATAATCTCATACAGATGGCTTAGAAGGGTATATCTACTTACAAACTATCTCATCAAAGGAGAAATACATCTTAATAATGCTTCAGCAGATCACCCTACCTCACAATGAGTTTGCTCCACTGAACTATTTCCATAGCATTTATGTCTTATACTATTCATTTAAGAATTAATCATATAATCTTTTACAACTTATCTTATACTATTATTATGTATATTAGTAATAATAGCTAGTATTTAGATAGCATTTTACAAACATCTTTTTTTGATCCCTCACAACTACTCTGGGAAATAGGTGATATTATCACCTACTAATGACAGGCTAATAAGAGGCTAAGGCTGGATTTGAACTTAGGTCTTCCTGATTTCAGGTCCAGTCCTCCACCCATGGCACCACCTAGTTGCCTGCCTTATCTCCCTAAGTACATTTTATGCTCCTCAAAGGCAAGAACTCTTGCCATAAGAGCTTTCTTCTATCTTCCATAGTGCCATCACCTAGTATAGTGTTGTATGCATATTGAGTGCTTAACAAATGGCTTACAGAACTGAAATGTATCAATGCTCACTGAATATTTACTGATATAACAATAAATTGATATATGAATCAAATAATGTTTAGAATCACCTGTTTTTCCTCAAATGCCGGAAACCTTTATTATACTTATTTGTATCTTCTATTTTCTTGGTTGACTGATAGGCTGATATCTGAGTCAAGGTGGTATTGCTTGGAAGAAAAGAAATGCACTTTTAATTGATGAACTAAACTAGAATGGTAGGATTCAGGAGACAGGTTTCCTTTTGTCACTGACCATAGACAACTCATTTAACACTACAGTGTATCAGTTTCTCATTTACAAAATCTGGAACAGTAGCTGCCTTTATCTCCCTTCAACCAGGATACTGTGAAGATAAATGAACTAAGTTGGGTATACTGTCTAATACCTAGAGGCCTATGTATTATCATGTAAGATAACATTAAAGGTAAAAACGATTAAAACAACAATCATAAACTCTCAACAAAATACCTATTCTCTGATTACTAAATTTCAGAAGTACAAATTTACAATAAACTTCAAGGTTAAAAAAAAAATACATGTTTCAAAAGCCCAAGAATTCTTTACTCGAGAGAAAAACTCTCTTTTTAAATTCCACAGATGACTAACTCTAGCATGGGGTGGGGGGGAACCTATACTGGATCAAAATACAGTTAAGTGCATATGAAATACATTACTTTCTCTCTAATATATCTAAGTATATTGAGAATTTTTCCCTGTATAACCTCCAAAGCACCAAATTGCTTATAGTTTTTTTTTAAAGTAACACCTGCTAACATTTACTTCAGAAATTTAAACATTTTCAGCATGTCACAAAATGTATTAAATGATGATAATATGACTTGAACATTTCATAAATTGGACTTTAAAGCATAACAAATATATGAAGTATTTATTTTAATAAAAATCTTCAAACACTCTTCAAAGACACAAGGATTTAAAAATATTTCCACCACCCTTCCTCACAAGATTCACATGAAAATTAAACACAACACAAAGGAGAAAAGAATCCTTATTGAAAAAAGGAGAAATGAAGCAAATTCCATGTATAGGGTTATTGTATTCATTCTACTTCAAGACTCTCCTTCTGGTTCTTGAACCTTTAAAATAATAGAAAAACACAAATTAGAAACCAAAATATAATCTACAATAATGTCTGAGAAAATTACATTCTTATACAAAATTCTTATACCTTTAATGCAAACTACATGGAAGGGTAGGAAGTATTTTTGTACCAATAATAACTAACACTGCTGAAGCACTTTAAAGTTTTACAAAATGCTGAGAATATTATCTCATTTGATCTTCACAGCCTTATCAGTCAAGCATAACAGATATCACTACCTTTATTTTATAGATAAGGAGAGAGACAGAAATGGGGAAAAGAAAGATGGAAAGAGAGATGGAGAGAAAGTCAATTTTTTATTCATAGTTTCACTAGGAATTTGAACTACATAGAATATACCTGGTTTATACAGGTATTAAAAATGGAATCATTATTTCAAATTAGAATTTATTACAAAATTTAAAAATTAATGCTACAAAATATTAACAGCAGCTCAGAATCAGGAAAGGGCTACTATCACTATTTTGGAAAGAACATGAGATTTTAATCTAAATATACTGTCTAAAACGCTGGCAGGATTTGGAGCTGTCCTGAGATGATGAAATCTCTTCCACTGGAATTTGATTCTGTCATAATGAACACTTAGAATAAAAAGTCACATTTGATACCAAGAGTATTTTTCAGGCAAGAAATCTCAAAAGATAGTTCCTACTCAATTACCCTTACTTAAGTTGGACAGCTCATCTGAAAAGACTGCTATATAAGATTTAGAGGGGCAAATTTGTAAATAAGCACCTACCATCATGATCAACTACATTAGCTGATAAAACAAATTTTTGCCTTTTTGCTCATACAAGATAACTATCAGGATGAAAACAATTCTGCAGTCCATAACCAAAAATTGTATTAAAGAGATTAGTGTTCTTTCCTGAAAAGTATAAGCTATTATTTAAGTCTCAGGCAAAAATAATGTATCTTCTGTAACATATATCTAATAAGAATCAGCTATTAAGTGTTTCCTACATGACAGACTTAACTTGGACCATTGAAAATACATTTGTATTTTAAAATTTTATTGATATGCTTGGGTTTTACACTGCCCACATTTCCCAACATACTCTTCTCCCTTTTACCCTGAAGAGAGCTATCCTTTCTAACAAATTTTAAAAAAAGAAGAAAAAGTTTGGCAAAACTAGCCAATAATAAATCAAGGTATTATATGAAGTATTCCAAATCTGTAGTCACTTTCACCTCTAAAAAGGTAGGTACATTCTCATATCTATAAATTGGGACCAATATAATTCATTATGATTTCACAACATTCAATTTATACTGTTTTGTTGTTCTCTTCATTTACATTGTTGTCACTATGTGAATATTTATTTCTGGTTCTGCTAAGTTTACTTTGCAACAGTTCAGATAAGCCTTTCAAAGCTTCTCTGTATTATTCATCATATCATTGTTTCTTCCATGGTAGTAACATATTATTAAATATATTAAGATACTATTACATATATACCATAAGTTTGTCTTTCCACAAGCACGCAACCACTATTTCATCGTTTGTCATTTTGCCAATTTGTTGAGTGTGAGGTGAAAACTCAGTTGTTTTTATTTATATTTCTCTTATTAACAGTTTTTGGAACACTCTTTCATATGGTTGTTAATAGCTTACAATTTTCTTTTTGATAACTGATTATCCATATCCCTTGACCTCCTATTCACAGGGGAATGGCTTTTGGTCTTATATATTTGTGTCAGTTCCCTATATATCTTAGATACAACAAGAGTATTTGATGTAAAGACCTTTCCCTAACTGGCTACTTCCCTTCTTATCCTAGATATATGCATTTGATTCATGCAAACACTTCAGAACATCATAAAATTGAAATTATCTATTTTATCTTTTATGATTGATTGCCTCTAACCGTTATTTGATTAAAGATATTTCCTTCTGTACTGAGGACATATATCTATTTTGACCTTTCTGTGTCATATGGTAATAAGATTTTGATCTAAACCAGAAATTCTTAACTTGGAATCTGTGAAACTTGTTTTAAAAATTTTTGATGAATACATTTCACTAATTGGCTTCCAATGTAATCCTCAGTATTTTATGCATTTAAAGACAATATTAAGAGAACAAGTTCATAGGCTTCACCAGACTGCCAAAGAGTTCCATTTAAAAAAAAAAAGCTTAAAAGTCCTCAATAAACCTAAGTTCAGCCAAACTATTTTCCAAATTTCCTAGCAAGTCTTTCCAAATAAGATGTTCTGCACTTAAGTAATTTATATTCTTGGGTTGACTGAACTATGTAATTGAGTTCAACTGATCTTTCCTTAACTAGTATATTCACTGGATCTACTTTCTATTTTTTTAACAAGTATAAAATAGTTTTAATGCCCTTTGACCCAGCAATAGTATTTCTAGGGCTGTATTCCAAAAAGATCATACAAATGGGGAAAGGACCCACATGTACAAAAATATTTACAGCAACTCTTTTTGTTGTGGAAAAGAATTGGAAATTGAGAGGATGCCCATCAATTGGGGAATGACTGAATAAGTTGTAATAGTAATGGAATACTATTGTGCCATAAGAAATGATGAGCAGGCAGATTTCAGAAAAACCTGGAAAGACTTAACATGAACTGATGCTGAGTGAAGTGAGAAGAGAACCAGGAGAATGTTGTACACAGTAACAGCCATGTTGTTCGATGACTAACATTGATAGACTTAACCCTTCTCAGCAATGCAAGGATCTAAGACATCTCCAAAGGTCTCATGATGGAAAATACTATCCACATCCAAAGAAAGAACTAGCGACTTTGAACACAGATTGAAGCACACAATTTGCTACTTTTTTTCTTCGGTTTTGTTTTGTTTCCTCTTTCTGGTGGTTCCTCCTATTGGTTCTAATTCTTCCTTACAACATCACTAATGTGAAAGTATGTTTAATAGGAATGCATATATAGAGCCTATATCAGATTTTGCGCCGTCATGGGGAGGGAGATGGGGAGGAAGGGGAAGGGGAAGAAAAATTTAAAATTCAAAAGCTTGATTGTTGATAAATCAAAATAAATTAATAAAAAAAAAAATTTAAGGGGCAGCTAGGTGGCGCAGTGGATAGAACACCGGCCCTGAAGTCAGGAGGACCTGAGTTCAAATCCAGCCTCAGACCACACACCTGACACTTACTAGCTGTGTGACCCTGGGCAAGTCACTTAACCCCAACTGCCTATAAAAAAAATTTTTTTTTTAAATTAGTTGTAATGATTATTGATTTATAGTTTATTCTAAGATCTGGAAGTGCTATTTATTTCATTCCTTTCCCTTATCTCCACATCATTTCCCTTAATATTCAAGATTTTTTTCTTTCTCTCTATAAATTCTGTTATGTATTTTGTCAAGCTCTGTTAAGTAACCATTTGGTAGTTTGGTATAGCACTATGAATTCATTCAGGCTGCATCGACATTTGTATTATGTTAGCATGACCCAGCCAGAAGCACTGAATAATCCTAGTTAACTTAAGTCAGTCATTATTTCTTTAAGGAGCATTTTGTACTTTATATCTTTATAAGTACTGAATGGTAGTACCTTGGTAGACTGAACCAGACTTTTTACCTATTGTGTAGTCATTTTGAATGGGACTTCCATTTCTATTATTTTCTCCTAGATTTACAGCAACAACAATACTTCTATATTAGAAATAATTAGAAATAATTTCTCTGGGTTTGTTCTGTATTCTACTTTACTGAAAGTATTGTCTCAATCAGTTTCTTTGCTGATTTTCCAGGATTTGCTACATAATATCACGCTACTACTAAATAAGAATAGTTTTGTCTCTTCCTTGACTATATTTTTTTCTTATTATTGTTAATATTTCAAAATTTCTGTCAAATAAGAGTGGGGAAAAGAGTGAGAAAAAGGAAATAAGAAAAGGCTTGCTTTACTCCTGTATTTACATGAATGCTTCTAAAGTTTCCCCACTGTACATAATGCTAGTTTTTGGTTATTGTTGTTGTTCATCCATTATGACATCACAAACATGGTGTCTTGACTTAAATGTAAATTGGATTTAAGTGAGGCAGAGATGTACAAAGTCATCAGCCTTGCTCCCTCCTCCAGAGTCACTGGAGCCCAGTGGCAAGACAAAAGTCAAAATAACTGGTGATCACCCAGGATGCAGTGGGTGATCTTGGCCTTTCTTGGGAAGCACATTAGACATGGTTGGAAATGGAGGGTGATGCCAAGTTGTAGAGGGCCTTGATTAAACAGGAGAAAGAAAAGTCTGAACTTATTTAAATGGCATTAGGAAATCACTAAAGTTTTTTGATCAGTAGAGTTACATGACCAAATTTATGGGAAGGAAGATTATTCCGGCAAAAAATAATAAGGATAGAATCATTCACTGATAAATTTCTAATGCATCATAAATTTCTTAAGAGCAGAGACTGGTTTCAAGTTTTCATTTTTGTCTTCATATTCCTATCACCTAATAGAGCGCATGGTGCAAGGTAGATGCTTAATAAAAATGTTTTAGTACTAAGTTATTCATTCATTCATTCATTCATTCATTCAACAAATGTTGAGTGTCCATTCAATGAAAGGCACTTTTTCATATGAGTCCCAGGCTAGGAAATGCTCAGTCTCTAGAGCTTGGAATGTTCTCTAACATGAAGGCATTTGGAAGAATGTCCATTATCCATCTCACCAAATGTGGCAGTGTAGAGTGATAGACAGAAGGCCAACCTTGGATGGAGCTCTGGGCAAATCACTTAACTTATGAGTGCCCCAGGCAACTCTCTAAGACTACTGAGATACCAAAGAGTGGTCATTTTTTATCAGTAGAGGTAGTTTCTACCCAGGGAATTTCCCACATAGATGAAATATTGTCTGAATCAAATCAAAACAGAACATACAAATTCCTACACCAGGGTTGAAAGTAACCTGGTACTTATCATTTCACACTCTTAAAATCTGCTAATTTGTCTTTATTATCTCTACTTTTAATAATACAAAAAGAATGAAATTT